ATGCATGCATGGGAGTAACTCTGGCTATGTGCATGCGTGCATGCATGCATGCATGCAGGAGTTTGGTGATTCTGATTGATGCAACGGATGGCATGCGGGAGACAGACTTCAAACCCGACCGCTTGACGTGCGCCACACAGATGCTTGAGGTTAGGGTTTAGGGTTTAGGGTTTAGGGTTTAGGGTTTAGGGTTTAGGGTTTAGGGCTTAGGGTTTTGGGGAGCGTTGCGTGCCTCTCTACCTACCTGCATGCATGATAATGCATGCATGCATGCATGCATGCATGTATACACTCCTGTGTGTTTCTCTGCATGCATGCATGCATGCATGCATGCAGCCGAACATGCGCATGCATCGACTTCTTTCTGTCTGCTTGTGTGTACATACATGCCTGCATGCATTCACAATGTATCTCCGTATGCCTCTGCATGCATGCATGCATGCATGCATGCGTGCAGCGGTACACACACACAGACGCATGCATGCATGCATGCATGCATGCATCTGTGTGTGCGTGTGTGTGTGCAGGAGTTTTTGGGTTCTTTTTTGCTGCAGAATCCTTTGGCTCGCATTGCGTTGGTGTTTATGGCTGAGTCTACAGCGGAGGTGTTGTGTCCATCAGCAGCAGCAGCAGCAGCAGAGCATCAGCATCAGCAGCAGCAGCAGCAGCAGCAGCAGCGCATGCATGGGCCTTCTATCACAAGCTCTGGCCTGCTAGCCCAGGGCACAGCCAGCTACTTCAGCAGCAACGTAGATGAGCTTGTTGCTGCTCTCGTGGCCCGCAGGAGACGCAGAACGCCTGCTGCTGCACACTCACCTTCTCTCAAAAATGGATTAGATGTACTCCTGCTGCTGCTGCTCCTGCTGCTGCTGCTGCTGCTGCTGATGCTGCTGCTGCTGCTGCTGCTGCTGCTCCGTGTTGCTTTGGTGTTTGCATGCAAGGCTGCATTTATTTTCCTCGCCTTGGGCTTGGCGTTTGGCGGGGTTGTTGTTACTGGTGGGGTTGTTGTTATGGGTGGGGTTGTTGTTATTTGTGTGGCGCAGAGGGCCCGGGCTCTGCTGGGGGCTGCTCCCCCCTACTGCACCCGCGAGGTGTTGGTGGTGTACGGATCGATCAGGACTTGTGATGTGGGGTGAGAGGAGACACAGAGACAGAGACAGATAGAGACAGAGACAGAGACAGAGACAGAGATAGAGAGATGGAGACAGAGAGAGACAGAGACAGAGGGAGAGAGAGAGACAGAGAGAGATATGGAGACAGAGAGAGAGAGGGAGAGAGAGACAGAGACAGAGAGAGAGATGGAGACAGAGACAGAGAGAGATATGGAGACAGAGAGAGAGATTGAGACCGAGACAGAGAGAGACAGAGAGAGACGGAGATAGAGGGAGAGAGAAACAGAGACAGAGACAGGGAGAGAGACAGAGACAGAGACAGAGAGAGACAGAGACAGAGAGAGAGATGGAGACAGAGACAGAGATGGAGACAGAGACAGATGAGACGGAGACAGAGACAGAGACGGAGACAGAGACAGAGACGGAGACAGAGGCGGAGACACTCTGCTGTCTCTTTACTGCAGCACAAAGCCCCAGCGCTGTCGTTGCTTTGCTCTGCTGCTCCTGCTCATGTGCATGCATGCATGCATGCATGCATGCTGCTGACGCGGCGACCCTTGGCGCAACAGCCATAACTAGGGTTTAGGGTTTAGGGTTTAGGGTTTAGGGTTTAGTGTTGCAGGAGCATCGAGGAATCTATAAGCGAGCTGAAGAGCATAAAGGCCCGCTGCTCTGTCGTTAGTCTAGCGCCGGAGGTGCGCATAGTGAAGGTAAGAAACCTAAACCCTAAACCCTAAACCCTAAACCCTAAGCCCCCAGATAGACACTATATATTTTGTATACATGCATGCATGCATGCATGCATGCATGTATACAGATAAATAAACAGAGTATGCATGCATGCAGGCATGCATGCATGCATGGATGTAGACAAACAGACAGACAGTTAATGTATGCATGCATATATGCCTGCATATATGAACAAACACTCCACAGCTGCATGCATGCATGCATGCATGCATGCATGTGAAAGCCCCAAAGTTTTTTTTTTTTGTTTTCTTCTCAGACGTTAGCTGTTCAGACTGAGGGCACCTTTGAGGTGGCTCTGCATGCAGACCATCTCCGCTCGCTCCTCATGCAGCACACCCAGCCCCCCGCCTGGTGAGTTTATATATATATATATATTATATATATATGTATTTATATATGTATGTGTATATATATATGTCTCCTTCTGTCTCTGTCTCTGTTTATACTGTTCCTTATCTCTGCCTCTGTCTCTATACATGTTATCTACCCA